TGTTATAACTGCAGGTAAACTAGGGGATTCAGTATGCACAGAGTGCTCACACCCCAGATTAACACGCTGATGTCAGCCATGCCTTGTGCTGTAGACATGATCTCAGCTTCAAACCACCATCCTGGTGCATTGATTTGTGCTACTGGAGCCATGTTTAATTGAGACCCAGAGGGGACTGTTTTCTAATCACTCGGTGATGTAGCCCCAGTCCTGAAAACACCTCCATACATGTCTAATTTTAAGAAGATGAGAAGCATGACTCAAATGCTAAAACTTAAGCTTGTCTGTATCTGTAAATTTCATGTAACCACACTGAGGAACATGAATTGTTGATTTAAACAGTGAGGCCTGGATTGCAACTCTTGATTTAAGTTGAGATACCTATGGAATACTTTGGGCATCAACTAAAAATATGTTAGCAGTCAAAGATTACAAGCAGGTTTGAAGAGCATTACACTTACCTGATGGTACTCTGTAGCATTTCATATTGTTGATTTAGGTAAAACTAAAATTTTTTAAAATCAGGAATAAATGTTCGGTGCAGAGAAAAACTTCCATTTCTTCCTGTTTTGGTCCTCATTGTCCCCAGTCTCCCCTGGATGAACAAGTGCTCCAGCTGTATTCACTGTAACTGGTGAGACAGCTCAACATTCACTGTTTGGGCTAACAAGTAAGTGATGCCTTTGCATACCTACAACAGTCTCTCTCCATAGGGCCATATCTTTATAAGTAAGATAAAGCATTGGAAGTGAACTTCTCTGACTCTATTTCAATGAGTATCACTAAATGGAATGGGTTTATTTACACAGATGAGATGTCTTTGCTGTGTGAACAGCCAGCTGAGTTATTGTTGCAGAAAAAATAATGTTAGATAGCATCACTATACATCTAAGGGGGGTTAGAAGGTGTAAAGAGTTAAAAAACATAAGCAGGTGTGACGTGTTATCTCTGGCAGGCTTACACAGGTACATCAAGTATAGGTAACTCCTATTCCCTACAGTCTAAAGCCTCAGAAGAAGGATGTGCATCACAGAACAATGCTTCACTTACAGTGGCAGATGCATTCGATTATGGATTTTCAGAGATTCAACTCTTGCTAGAATCATAGAATCTTTTAGGTTGAAAAAGACCTCTGAGATCAAGTCCAGCTGCCAACCTAGCACTGCTATGTCGACCACTAAGCCATGTCGCACATCTAAATATCTTTTAAATACCTCCAGGGATGGTGACTCCCGTTCCAATGCTTGACAAGCATTTTCAGTGAAGAAATTTGTGTTGGTATCCAACCTAAATCCTCCCTGGCACAACCTGAGGCCCTTTCATCTCATCCTATCACATGTTACCTGGGATAAAAGGCTGCCCCCCATCTGGCTGCACCTTCTTTCAGTTATTTGAAGAGATCAATAAGGTCCCCACTGAGTCTCACTTGCTCCAAGCTAAACAGGCCCAGCTCCCTCGGCTGCTTCTCATAAGACTTGTGCTCCAAACCCTTCACCAGCTTTGTTGCCCTTCTCTGGACAGCTCCAGCACCTCAATGACTTTTAGTGGTGAGGGGGCCAAAACTGAACATGGTACTCGAGGTGTGGCCTCACCAATGTTGAGTACAGGATGACATTGACCAAATTTACAATGTTCCAAAGTTTACCGGAAACCTAGTGTCATGGTTTAACCCCAGCCGTTAGCCAAGCACCATGCAGCCTCTCACTCACTCCCCTACCAGCAGGACTGGGGAGAGAATTGGAAGGGAAAAGGCTAGAAAATTTATGGGTTGAAATAAAGAGTTTAATAGGAAAAGCAAAAGTCATGCATGCAAGCAAAGCAAAACAAGGAATTCAGGTAGGTGTTCAGCCACCTCCAGGACAGCAGGGCCCCATCATGCTTAACGGTTACTTGGGAAGAGAAACACCATCATTCCAAATGTCCCCCCTTCCTCCTACTTTCCCCAGATTTATAGACTGAGCAGGATGTCATATGGTATGGAATAACCCTTTGGTCAGTTTGGGTCACCTGTCCTGGCTGTGTGTCCTCCCAAACTCTCATGCACCCCCAACTTCTTTGCCAGCGTGGCAGTACCAAAAGCAGAAAAGGCCTTGGCTCTGTGTAAGCACTGCGCAGCAACAACAAAAACATCTCTATTATCAACGCTGTGTTCATTACAAATCCAAAGCATAACCCCATACTAGCCACTGTGAAGAAAATTAACTCTACCTCGACCAAAATCAGCATACCTAGAGATCAGGAGTTGGCTATCATTTACACATTTCTTTACAACAGGTAGTTCAGTTATTATGCTGACTTCATCAGATAGCTCATGCTGGGTGATCCTGTACATTTTCATGGAATAGAACTTGTAGTTGTGTTTTAAAATTCTTATAGAGTGCAGATACCAGCACCATCAGAATGCAGCCTACAGTCCTTGTACCAGTATGTGTTTCTAACAGTAATCGAGGCAAGAAGAGAAGAGAATAGGACGCTGCCACACATAGCAACCATTCCTGCTGCCCCCCCCCACCACTCATTATTGCTAGCTGCCATCCATGGTTGCGGTGCTGAAAATGCCCTTTTGCATGTACAATTCAATGGCAGCAGTTCCTTGACAGATCATACCCTTTGTGGTTATGTAGCTGATTGTATAGCAGTACTGGTCATAGATTTATGCACCCAACCAACTAAATCTTTTTGGAGTGAGGCCTTCAAACTATCACACAGGCCTGCACAGTCAGCCATAGTCACAGTCAGGGACTGACTGTTTTCTCTCTACTGCTACATCTAGCACAAAGGATCTAGGCTTAAATAGTAAAAGTGTCCATACATATCAGGATCAATGGGAGTTAATTATTTAAACAGCTTTGTGGATTTGAACTAAGTAAATGCTAGGTCCAAAGTCTCTATACCTTTTTACTAGATAAATATATTTCCTTTATACTGCTTCAGGAATTAGGTTACTGGCAGCCAGAAGAATGGAGAAGAAACCAGTGAAGTACATTGCTTTTATTCTCTAGAGTTTAGGTGCCTGGGCCTCAGGCAATATTCTTGCTGAAGTAATAATTAACAATTTAGCTGTGAAAAAATATGTACTTGACCAAGAGGCACAAAAGAGTTTCACAGGAGCAATCATTTACAAGGAGCCAAGTATCTTTCATTACGAGGCATTATACCCCAGTTCAAGACATGAGAACATCTTCAGCAGAAGGTATGTGTCTTGACATATGTACCTCTGTTGTATAAACCGTCTCATCCTTCTTTTTTTTGGTCTGTCAGATGCATCCCACATGTCTTTCCACCTTTTGAAAATATTCCTGATGTTAGCTGGTCTGAAATGTCAACTCTGGCATCTGTGTCAGAAACATTCAGTATGTAAAATCCACCTAAAACTTTCATTAGAGACCTATGTTCTTTATTGGAACTACTGCTAAATCTGTGACAAAGAAAGTGTGTCTTACATTTCTGAAGGACTCAGATAGTTTTGATTGTATTGTTATAGTTGAAATAGACAAAGATGCTAGAAAATACAATATAAAATAGTCTACCCCATCTGGAGAGTAAGCTCAATACAGTTGTTTGGGTTTGCTTTTGTTTTGTTTTGGTTTTTTTTTTCACTTCTGTGTCTCAAATTGGTACTATTTGAATTGCTTCATTCTGAAGTTAACACCAGGTTTATTCCTAAGTGAGCGCTCTGTGCAATAAATCCACTTTCCAGTTAGGATGAAAGTAAGAAATTCTTTTGGATATAAATTTAGATATAAAATGAACAGTCTCAAGAAATTTTTGTTGGTTTTTCTTTTTTTCTTCTGAGGGAGATAAACCACTTCACTGTCCCAGATATCAGTCTTTCCTAACACATTTGCAGTTGTCCGTTTGTGCAAAAAGACCTTGATCAGGAAAAACTCCTACTGGTTTCAATGAAAAAGCTTCAAAAAAAGCACATAGAAATGTGAATTTAATTGTCTCCAGGTATTATATCATATGCAGATTCCTACCCTGCTGGTTTGTTTTGTTTTGGTTTTTAAGAAATGAAGTGAGAGAAAGATTTAGAAACTACTAAAATTTTCATATGTCATGTATTAGAAGATTTCTTGTTCTTCATGATACCCTAATTTCCTTTAAAATTAATTAATGAACTGGCAGTGTGCCACTAAAAGATTATCGAACAGCAGCTTTTTGCCACTGTGGAATTATTAGTGATACTTCCATGTTCTCTTAGATAAGACAAGATGGGGGTAGGGAGTATAAACATTTGTTTCTGTTCTTCTGAAAAACAGGCAGCAGAGGTAGAAGTATACTACCAATTAAGTAGAGTTTATTTTCCATGCATGGCTGGAATCTAGCAAGGGAATAGAGCTTGTATTTTAATGTGCGTCTGGCCCATTTGAGAGCTGACATCTGGAGAAGATCTCTCTCTGTACAAGAAGACAAGAACAGGCATGCTGAAATCTTACATCAGGAAAACAATATCAAGGATTTTGGTGTAAAGTTGAAAAGTGATAGGCTTAATAGGTGCAGGTACTGACAGGATCTCAGGGACTGGCATTAAATAAGAACATGAGTACTCCCTCTGTAATGACTGGAATAGTGCACACCTCCAGGGGACATTTATTTCAGATGTTTGACTCTAAAAAATGTTCTCATTCAACAGACAAAAGCACACTCAGAGGCTTGTTTCTTTATGAAAATAATTTTCAGTTGTAAAGGTCAATTCTTCTAAATACTATAAAATCTACTTAAATTGCAAAGGAGATTCTCTTGTGAAATATTAAATAATAACCAAAAGTTAAATAATGAATCAATTGATCCAGCTCAATTGAGAAAAGACTGCTGTAACACAGCCACAAGAAAAAAAAAAAATTTCCTCTGTATATGTGTGCATTTCAGGAATCGTATCTGACTGTGAACATATCAGCTGTATCTCTTTAATTCCAGTGAGAATGCTAAGAAGCAATTTAAAAATACAGCAATCAAGAAGAGAGGTAAACTATACATTGGACCTGAAGGCTCCTTACCTTGGAGGCTATCTGGTAGACATGTGGTCCTTGTCCTTCTTAAAGCTTGTGTAATTAAAATTTGGGTAGGAAGAGGAGGAACAATGATGTTATTCTCCAGTTTGTGGCTGGAAACCATTTATTCTCCTACTGCGTGAACCAAGATCTTGGGAAAGTCCTAACCATTTGTAAACCTCAGAAAACCATGAGATGTGAAATGAATGGATATTATCGTGGCAGACCAAAAGACATACAATTAATATTCCCTTTATTAATCACATAGTGGTATGCAAAGAATGCCATGAATGGGGATTTACAGTCAGGGGACTGTCCTAAAAATATTTCAATTGACTTTTCCTGTATTCCTTTGTTTTCTATGTTTTTAAAAATCTTCAAATAATTGAAATTAATGCTGTCAGTTGCTTATCTACAAATCCTATGATTATATTTCCTCATTTAGTGCTGCAGGAACTGCCATTGGTTATCTTTGGATGTAGGCAGCGTAAATAACTTTTTTCAGTAACAGTACATTACGCAAATTTAGCATATGTCTTTTGAAAGAAAAGCGTTATATAGGAAAAGCATTATATAGAAAAAGCTTTATTCAAGATATTCAGAACCCTTATTATATTTGTATCATGAAAGTATTTTTGTCATAATTTTGAAAAAGGAAAATTATTTTCTTTGTGTCTCTTCAACTTCTAAACCCTTCCAGGAATAGGAAGTTTCTTAAATGTACCTGGTGTGTTTTCAAAATGTCTTTCTCAAGAGATGCAGTTTGAGCTAGGGCTCCTGGAAGTGTACACAAAGGAGTTTTAGATTTTGTGATAAATCCTCTACACCAATCATTGTTGACCCAAGTATGGCAGCTTAGGACACAACAGTTCATTTAAACTGCTCTCTTTGACAATGATCATAGCTATTACAAGTCAGGCATTTACACCAAAGAATATAACTCCAAAATACTATTACAGGATGCTGCAAAAGTTGTTATGAAAAATAATAGTATAATATGTTTCATAAGAAAATTTAAAAAAAAAATAGTAAAGGAAGGTATTATGTAAAACATTTAACCCCATCTACTGTTTCCAAGATAACCGTGTAAATCTGTAGGAGCTGAGAATTTAGTACATGTCTCTTAACACATTTTTATCAAAATCACAGTGAGAAAAAAGGACCTGCTAGAAAGCTGAAGAAAAAACACAAGAAGAAGAGCAATTTTCATGTTACATCCAATCATCAACAGAAGAGCTGCTCTAGCAGATCATATAAAATGCCTTACTGGCATCATATCATAGAAACATAGAATCATAGAATCAACTGGGTTGGAAAAGACCTCCAAGATCATCAGGTCCAACCCTCCATCCAACACTGTCGTGGTTACTAGACAATGGCACTAAGTGCCGCATCCAATCTCATCTTAAAAAATATCCTGTCTCTGATAGTGGGCACTAGTAGACATTTACGGAAGAGTGGAAAAGCAAGGCAAATATGAGGTAGTTTTTTTACTCCCATCATGAAGTAATCAGCAATTCAAGGATTTTCAGAGCTGAAAGCTTATTTGCACCACTATATTTAACAGACCCTGTGACAGACAGAAGGATGTTCTCCTCACTTAATTTGCTTCAGCCTTTTATTGCAGACTGTTCAAGTACCTAACTGACAAATATTTACACCATTACAGAAAGAGTAAGAATACATAAGGGAGAAGAGTGTTGGAACAGAAAAATGGCAAATTCAGTCACAGGACATTGTCTCAGTACCTCATGAAAGGAAGGAGAGAAAGAGATTTGGGGCTGAATGAAGAACATGTTGACTGAGATTTTCATGTGCAGACAAAGAACTTGACTCCATATCTGGGGATTTTCTCCTTGCCAACGCTTAGGAGTAATTGTAGAATATACAAAACTAGTTCTGTATCTGAAACACTGAATAAAAAAACTGCTTACTGGGAGTCAAGCTGACTGTTTTGTTCACTGCTGTATTAAAGTGTAGGAAAATCCTTACATGGAGGCCCTATACAAGAGGGCACTGCAGCCATGGTGATGCTACATTTGAACCAATCTGCAAGTCAAAAGTAACCTGTGTGGTTTACTGTGTTTTAGGCTATGCCGGTAGCTAGTCAACTGTAGGGAAAGAAAGGGAAAAGAAAAAAAAGTTCGAGAAACGACTGGACCAAGGTGATAAAAATGCAAGAATCCAGTGATTTTTCTAATCTCTATTGGCCATAAGCTCCATGGTTTTGCCTAATCTCTCTTTATAACTATTCTTACTTTTGTTCTTCCCAACATTTGCAGTCAGAGGCCAGTTCTGTCATTTGTTCACAAGTACAATCTTTTTATGTCTATTTATTTTAACTTTGCTGTCTGATTATTTTTTTCAGCAGGTCCTTATATTTACATTGTGAGAAATAGCTGTTTCCTGTTTAGTTTCTCCGTGATGTAGATTATCATAGAGCTCTCTTAAATTAATCAGATTAATCAGACCCTTTCTTTACATTCAAGGGTCTCATCTGTCTACTTAATTTCTCCTCACATATGAAAGTATATTTTATGTTAAAACTCTTTTGCTGCCATTTGCTTCATATCCTTCTTCAGATAGGCTACCTGTGATGTTCAAAATGTAGACTCAGAATGAAAGTGGCATAACAAGCTTTTCCAATTCCTTCTGCATTCCTTTCTCATTAATTGTTAACTCTCTTTGTTGTTTGTTTGGGTTTAGTTTTGGTTTTAACAGTATAGAATATTGATCTAAGGCTTCCCATGAACTGACCCAAATAAATTACATTTCCAAGATGTGACAATGTAATGGTTTGTTTAGATTTTCTTCTCAGTATATTACTCTGCACTCATCAACATTACCTTCACCTGCCATATTATCATCAGCCACTAGTCTTCCGAATTCATTCTGCAAATCTCAAGTAAATTGAGCAGGATAAATCCACAAGTTTGCTGAAAATGGATCACCCACTTTCCTGCCTTTCATGAGTTATAATCCTAACACTGACCTTTCCCTCTTACTCTACTGGATCATCTACTCTAGTGTCTTTTATTCATACACTTGGTTGCACCTAAGCAAACATAAGTATTTATGATGGTTTAAAATGAGGGAGCCAAGGTATCAGAAGCAGCCTATGCACAGAGCAAGGAATCAACAAATTGCCCTGTTACTAAGGTGGCTTTTACTGTCTCCATTTAGCTGCTTATTGCTGTAGCCAGAACCAAGTAACACAATGTGGCTGAGCCAATCTAGCTGCTCAAGGCTGCTCAGACATCTTCCTCCCACATTTCTCTGCCCACATTCTTGGCCATATGATCCTGTTTCTCTCCTCACATACCAGTCTTGCCAATTGTCTGATACCTCAATAAGCCAATTTAACTATCTGGCTCACAAAAAGCTGTCTATTCATTTTCATGTTTCAAGTCCGTTTTCCATCCATTTCAAAAGTTGAATAGTGTGAGCACAAAGCCTGTTGACAACCAGACTTGGCACAAGGAAAGGGTCAGGAGTCTTTGGCTGGTGAAAGGAGTAAGACCTTCCAAATTTTAAGGACAGCAAGCCATGAGATTAGATGAAGTCATTTCTTGTAAACCCACTCTTAGAATAGGTTAAGCTGCCAAGCTACCCTGACACTCAGCTAAAGGAGGCCTTGCTCATCCCCTCTACTTCCAAGTTCTCTTTTACTTCCTCTCTTTTTTCTCTTAGTTCTCCTCCTTTGATTCAGCTTTGGAAATCACATTGTCTGACTGATCTTCTCTGATCCAGAGGTAAGCCAGCTCATCTCAGCAATCAGTCAAAATAGAAGGAACAAACTTTTTTTGCTGCTTTGGAATTTGGATAAGTTTTGTCAGCTTACAAGGAGGTCAGATGAGACCCCAGAGACTGTTTAAGATAAGCACTGAAACTAAGTGGTGGGTAAGAGAGATAAGAAAGGGAAGGAGGGAGCAGTAGCACACTCCCTCTTTGTTGCATTTAAAAGTTAATTTGAAACTATACCCATAGACTGATATTGTTAAAGCTGTGTTCCAAACCTGGGTTAAAGCTGGGTTTTAAAGCATTGCTATGCTCCAGTATTTTTACCAAAGACAGGAGTAAAACACTCAATATGAGTTGCTTTGGAAGATCACAAATGAAACATTGCAATTTATTAACCTTAGGCTTTCTGATCAAGCACCCAATATTGGCATCCATAGTTATTGTTCGGTAAGTTGGTGGTAGGTGACACTCCAGTGTTTATAGTTCCCCTTCCTTCTCCTTTAAATACCAGAGTGAATCTTTGACATGTCTTTCTGAAGAAAGACCACCTCCATATATCTGCAGAATGTTTTCAAAAAATGAGTTCTGCAAACCAAACTATCTGCCATTGACTCATTTCTTCTCCTAGAGGGAAGGTACTGCGACAGAGAACTATTTGGCTGGGCTTCACAATCTGTAAGTGAAATATCTGATGTTACCAGCTGTGCAACTTTTAGATTTTTGCATGAAGAAAGAATGATTAGAAGGTGATCATATTCAAGACTTGAGTGGTAGTTGCTTTTTATGTTCCTGTGGCATGCTGGGAAGTGCCAGGGCCCTGGTCTGGATTGTTGGCTCAAAATTCCTGGAAGATCAGAGCTGGAGTTTAAAGAAAACTAAGGACGTGTACATACAGATACAGATAGTTTGAGGCACTTTGGAAGTTTAAGGACAAGCTAACTGAACTGTTGTGTCAACACTGCCTACAAAATTAACTTATCCCTCTGCAAAGTTTTGCTGCAATTTCCACTCTATTCACAGACTAGTTTTTGTGCTGGAGAATGGAAAGTCAAGTCCCTTCTGTTACTAAGAGAAATATCCATGTATTTTTATGGGTTTGAGTATGATTTTCTATAAACTCAGATTAATTGAACATTAGGTGAAACAGCATGTCTTCACTTCTTTCTGGTATGCTAAATATCCTTTGGTTTTGTTTTTAGTAAAGCACAACATTTGTCATTCTTAATATTCTCACCTTTATTACTCTGTAAGACTTTATCATACGCTCACGTACTTTCTTCCTGGTTTTGGCCACCCTAATTGTAAAAGTGCATAGACTGAAAGCCTTCTCTTCTCCCTCAGCTGTGGGGGAAACATCTGCTTGTTATGCTGGAGTCTTTTCTACAATTATTTGCATAGCTACATGAATTTAACAAACATTTTGATTTACTTGTGTAGAGGGACCCAGTTCCCACATTACATATATTTAGTTGAACATTAATTTGAATTTGCTAGAGGAAGAGGTACAATTTACATAGTATTTTAATTTTTAAATAAATTAAAATTGTGAGATGACTATTCAGAAGTAATAAAACCAGCTACAAATATCAGCAAGTTCCCATTTATTTTCCTAATGATGAGAAATGTGAATATTATTTTATGGATAAAGCTATTTCATTTTAACTTTGCCAATGTAAATAAATATTTGAATGTTAATTATTCTATAGAAAGTTCTACAGTGATTTGGTTTTTATGCCAAATATACCTTGAACATCTCTTAAGGACCCAAAAATTTTCCTTGTCCTTTAGATATAAGAATATTTCCTCTTTGTAACGTATATAACCTAATTCAAAGCAAAAGCAAAGGCTTCTATAGACTTAATGTGTGCTTATAATCATAATGCCCAAATCAGACTACTTAAAATCTACCCTGGCAGCAGGACAAGAAATATGACAGTTATTTCATTTCAGCTTCCCTATTTTTTTGCATTATTTGGATGATTACACAAACAAGGCTTTTAAGAGGCTCCAGTCCTTCTCTTTGTAGTTACAGCTCAGAGAATTTAGAGGCGTGGGATTGAACTGAAAATATGTGGGGTATTCCTAGAGCTTCCAGTAATAGGTAACCCATGGAATGGGCCTTTCCTTTGTTTTCTTCAGGTTGCTGTGACTATCTTGAATAAGGGAGGAAAGGAGAAATTTAGAAGAAGAAAAAGCCTTTTTTTCAGATAAGCCCTTACTGTGGTAGTCTCCTATTTAATCATCACCCTTGGTTAATAAAACAATTCCCTATTGTGCTGCACCTTTAGGCAGTCACATGAAGAATTTGCCCTGTGAGGGGAAAAAAAAAAGAATTATTTATGTCTAATATGTACCTGTTAAATTAACTGCAGAAAGGACTAGTAGAGGGCTACTATGGGCTAGGGCTGTGCAGGGGACTTTCCACCTGCCCTGGAACCTTCACACACCAGCATCAGCCTTTGGGGAGCAATGGGTCCTTTTTCCCTTGCTTAGCTCCATATTAGAGGAGGGGGAAAAAAATAAATCCTTTTGAAGCTTTCTGAACTCCAAA